CCCCCCTATTGCCCCACGAATCCTCTTAGTATGAATCACTTCTGGCAGACCCTATCTGCACTGATCATCCTCATGTCAACATCCCCAGGAGATCTCCCACGATTGATTTCTTAATATTTAAAGCCAAATATCTGAAACTTTGATGCTATAAGAAGAAAAGAAAAAGATGAAGAATGGAGATCAAAGCAAACATTAAACTTTTACCCAAAGTAGAGTTTACAAGCAAATGCTTGAATGAAAGTGCACAAGGGATGCAGGAAATATGGAAATTTGCCAAAAATTGCTTGAAATTTTTGAATGTTCTGAGAATTCTGATTTTATAAAGTAAAGAAATCAATGAAATGCCTAAGGATCCGTTTTTATAGGTAGAGGCAAAGAACAATAGCCATTAGATAAAAAAGAATTAATCTTGAATGTCCATTTGTTTAAGTATTTCAAACCGTTGAATGCAAAAAAAAGGTGCTTCTTCATTTTTAAATGAAAGGCCAGGATTGTAGCGTGACTCACCCACACGCGCAAAGACATGTTGCATTAGATAACATAAAAGACCTCATCATTACGCATTTAATACTTACATAACACGCACATTGAAAATACTTGACGCCCCAACTGTCGATTATGAGAAAGATGCAAGGTTTCAAATCATTTGTCATGCATCCCATCAATGTCTTATCAATTCAATATCTCGCCTCTGCATCACTTCAACTTGTCCAAAGCTACCTATCTTTCAGATCCTAGTCCTCAAACAAGGGTCTCATCTCTACATCACTTCAGCTTGTCCAAACTACCTATCTTTCAGAGTCTCACTCTTAAGCAAAAATATTGCCTCTACATCTCTTCAGTTTCTCCAAAGCTGTTTATTTTTTAGAGCTCCGTCCCAAACAAAGGGCCTCGCCTCTGGATCACTTCAGCTTCTCAAAAGATGCCTATTTTTTTAAAACCTCACCCTAACGCAAGGACCTCGCCTCTACATTATTTTAGCTTTTCCAACGCTGCCTATCTTTCAGTGCTTCACCATCAAGAAAGGCCTTACCTCTACTTCACTTCAGCTTCTTCGAATTTATCTATCTTTCAAAATCTCACACTCAAGTAGGTGCCTGACTCTGCACCACTTGTGGGACTATTGTGTTGTGTTGTCTTTCCACAACCAAAAACTGGTCACCCTACTAGAATCGGCCTTATGGAAGCCATGTAACAAGCAAACTCAGGCCCACACTTCCCATCACTATCCTACCTGGCCTATCCGAGCCCATTAGGTAGTCGAAATGATGCACTTCATCGAATTCTTATGTAGACATTGAACCCTGCATAGTTGAGGTGGAGCAATACAACCTGTTGCAACACCAATCTGAAGCGAATATGCTTCAAGCACATGAAAACACCTCTCCTAGAAGATCCTCCATATGAGATCTTCTATGATTGATTGATGTGATCTCTTTGAAGAAGGAATCCTATCAAATAAACTTGTTAGTATATTCTTTATATGTATGACCTAGTTCGTAAGATAGCTATTTTTCAGAATCATTTAATGTCCTTGAACCTAGGTTGGTGGAATGATGCGCCAAGACTTCTCGACCATAAAGATGAAGCCACATGTCTCTCCATCTAGCGGTAACCATTCCAACTCTTTCATTATAAAAGCTCACACTTACTGTTATTTGAAAGTAATGCAATTTAATGCACCACATAGTAATATTGCTCTCATTGTTCTACATTTGCCCCAGGTGCCCGTACACTAAGGTAGCTCACGTCCTTCATCCATTCGACATCCATATATATATATATATACAAGTTAACTAACTTGACATTAGAAATGCTCAAGGCCGCCTCTCCCACTTCCAAAGAATGTCACGTGCTTTTGAAGGTTTGTCAAGTGTGCATGTGTTATACGAATGAACGTGAATGGAGCCAAAAAGACTATTTAAAAAATTTTACCATGTCAAAGACAAGATAATAAAAAAATAAACGCCACCCAGAGTTCTCACAGTGATGATTGATGATATATAAGTAGGGTTGTGTTTCTTTCAGCTTAAAATTGTTGAAAACAACCGAACAAGCAGCAACTTAATTTTCTTCGTCACTGAGTACCCCTTGGAGAGTTTGAAATTTGGTGCACAAATGATTGATAGATATTACGTCTTTCAGCTGCTTTAGAATGGATATTTCTAAGATAGCGTTATAAGTGTAGATGCTCGAATCTACAATGATTCAAAAGGTGGGCACCGATGATTTGTATATTGAAATGATAAAATAGTGGTGTCGCAGAAAGGTTGAATGATATGAGTGTGAGTGGTGATGGAAAAAAGTGACAGTAATGGTAATTAAATCTCTAAATTGGATGAATTAAGAAAGCTTTGTAGATTCGATGATCAGATTTCTCTCCCTGAATAGTCAGATTGCCCACCTATTTATAGGAAAACCAGTGAAGGTGTTTGTTTCTCAAATTGTTGGCACGTAGGCACTAGATAAACTGATTAACCGAGGTGGTAATTTCGGAGTCTCGAACGACTCGGCCAACTTTGGATTGAGTTAGCATAA